AATGGGCACAGAGGAAACGAAGGAACGTGCGGAATAGAAGGAGAAGAGTATTGACGAACGTAAGAAAGCTTGATGAAGATAGTAGAGATGACAAAGAAGTAGCATTCACAGACGGAGTCCCGGGCCAGGGACCTAACCTGTCCTCCGCTATCGCAACCTCCTTTACTGTTTTAAATAAGCTTTTCCATCATCAGCAACAGCGGCCGCGTGGGAGTGTTGGCTGAGGCAAGCAGGCAGGCAAAGAACTTCATTAATATCTGGAGGTGGCACTCAATTCTCCTTAGGGGCGAATGCCGGTGGGCCACTCCCACGACAGTATGGAGAGGTTAAACTCCACGGCTATGTCGTGGGCCCTCGCCTTGTTGCACATACGGTGCCTCCAAATACATCTGTTACATTGTGAATGAAACGGCACAGAGCGAGTTCCTCATACAAAGCCCTACAGGTAGTGAATGATGGATGTAACATTAGTGCTACTGGCTTTAGTATAGGTGTATATTGCCGAAAGGACTGACAAGCCGATGACTTTAGCAGAGAGCTGGAATAAAACTCAGCTGGACTCACTCAGCTGTCGCAACTAGGTATAATACTGAACACCACAAGCCTTCTTTAGAATTCCAATATTCGAGCAGGCTTCAGTTGCGAAAATTAATCTCGTGCATTATTAAAATGCTGAGGCTGTTGCTCTCGAGAAGTCTCTCAGGCTCATACTTTTGGTGATATTGGGTGGAAACTTACATTAACGTCACGTTTGCCGAAGAAAGTCAAATAATAAAAAAATGTGGCTGATTCTTGTGTATGGGAACCGGTATGACACAAAAGTGAAACATGTGTTTACAAAGGTAGTTGAGCGTTTATTGTGCATTGTTTCAGCAACAGCAACCAATTCGAAAATCACCTCAGGAACAGCAAGCAGCTGGAAACCTGCAGCGCGCACCTCCTACTCCCTTTTCTTTTCGTTCAACTTTTTATTAAGATTACAATGCACTGGGAATTTGATAGCCTCCATTTTGAACAGCATGATCGACGTCTGTTGAAAAATCGTCAAGAGTATGCCAGAGACAGTAATTTAACTTCTCTATGCCCAAATACGTCTTTCTTTCCCACTCTTCAAGTTTTATGCCCACACTGGAACACTCTCTAAAAGGTTCACCACTGTTAAATTGGCTACTTATCGACTCATTGCGAAAACACAAACTAGAGCGGTGCATATTAACCCTTAATCATGGCCGTGGGTGAATTATTATAATAACAAAAGATGCGTAAAATTTTCAATGAAAGAGCGCTGTTTGGACTTAGATGCTTAGTCGTACGCACGTGGGACTGTACTGTTATCATGCACGTAAAGATTTAAATGCCCCAATAGAAAGCCGCTGCAAATTAAAGCTCTTCGTCGACTTCGCGAGAAAACTCCTAGCAGCCACACTCTCGAGTTAATTGGGAGCTCCATCAACGTCCGTAATTAATGAATTGGCTGGGACAGGCCAACCATGGTGATCGAAAAAGAGTGATGAAAGGCAACTACTCTATCGGACAGCCAAAATCCCGAACAACTCTCGGACTGAAGCATCGGTCACAAGTACCATGGAGTGCGCATCCCAAGCACTCTTGCGATAGAGGCTGCGTTGCCGGAAACTCCAGCTCTGCATTAGGCTAACATAAAAGCAGGAAAAGGTATCTCCGTCTGGTCAGGTTAGCCCCCCACCCCTAATTAAAGCCATACGCTTGGTCAGTAAGCCCAAAAGAGTAATTAGTCTCATTTAGTACTATATTTACTGATTGCTTCCTAGGTTGACCTTTTCTTCCATTGAAACTGCGGGTATGTTGCATTCAAAAGACACCCGCGAAGTTTCTGCGCTTCACACACGCAAGCCTAACATTTGAAGAGTGAGCTTTGCTCAATAACACACGTGAAAAGTGGAATCTTCTTGAAAGGGAAATTATCAGCAGATTTTAACATTCTAATAATAATGCTACATATTTGTGTGCGTGTGCGTGTGCGTGTGTGTGTGTGTGTGTGTGTGTGTGTGTGTGTGTGTGTGTGTGTGTGTGTGTGTGTGTGTGTGTGTGTGTGTGTGTGTGTGTCCCACAATTTTTCTCCTGCCATTTGTAACAAAACATTATTCTTAAACAGTGAAATATTGTGTTATGCGACCCTTAGTAATTCGTAAAATAGCATAATTCGGACGCGCCCTCAGGTCCCAGTGGGCGTATAACAGCATCAATATCTCGTTCAGTCTCTCATAATTTGCCGGAAACCGGATAATATGGACGATCATCGGAGCACATGAAGAACGACTCGCCGTAAATGTGCGACGCAAACCAGACAAAACAACAATCGCGAACAACCAAAATGACTCTGGTTCTTCAGAAAGGATTGGTCAGCGTCCAAAATCTTACCACAAGTATGCTGTTGGGGACCAACGCTTCAGCTATTGCGGTGAACATGTTTCGTTTTCGCTTTCAATTGGCGCACGTGAACGATACGAGTGAATTATGCCTACCATTTTTTTTTCGGAGACGAGATTACTTTCAGGTGCACTGGAAGTACTGGTGGTGGTGGTATGTAATAAGGCCAGATTCGGAGCACGTTTCGGATTAATGGGGTATCAGCAGGTTGTCCTAGTTCCGGTTTTATATCTCACAAACTGTTTTATATTTTGTTGTGAAGTTTTGTGTTCTCAATGAAACAGCTTCTGGTTTTCACTATGTGCAATGACAACTGTATAACCATTCCACGTGTTTCTGGCTAGATACCAAGTGAAAGACTTGTGCACAAAATTATATGGCTCTTTTCTCAAAATCGAGAAAGTTTATCACCGTGTACCTTGGCACGCTTATTCGACATAATAGTGGTATTAGTACATAATCAAGAGCACAAGCTCGTACAATTATCTTATTGGAGAAATGAGTATTGTCCCTCATTTTCACATACCCCGAGTGAGAGTTGAAAATAATTATTTTGATCACAACCCAAACCTTTTTCAGATTTTTAGTTTGAGACTATTTAGGCTGAATTTAGGTATAATCTCAGAAAATTTCAGTAGGATCAGCGGTAATCAGTCGCATAGTTGTCTAGAAAAAGTATGTCGACTTTTGCAACAGTTAAAAACAGTGATCGTAACAAAAACACAATTTTGTTTATAAAGACATGTGCGGAACGTGTTCAAAACGCTCGCCAATGACTGCGCTGCAGAAGCATTGTGGTACGAAAACTTTTCATTGAAAAGCATGAAAATCGTAGAAAGTGAATATATCCCGCCGATTTAGTTATGGTTATTCTAAAGAAAATCAGTGCATGGGCTAATCACTTATGATCATTGGCTAACATGGTTCGGAAACTTGGTTTTCTAAGACATAAACTGCGTACCTGTCCTGCCAATGTAAAGCTTCTTAGTTGTTATTCTTTTATACGACCTAAACTGGAATACGCCAGCATTGTATGGGACCCTTAAACTAAGCTTAATATTAACAAACTTGAGCGGGTTCAAAGGAAAGCTGTTCGGTTTATATATTCAAAATACTTACCGTCGGATTCACCTTCCGCGCTGATGTCTGCAAACGACATTCAGACCCTTGAATCCCGCAGACGCGAACAACGGCTGGATTTCCTTCAATTATTACTTAATCAAAAACTCGCAATCGATTCATCGCCTTACTTATCTTTTCTGTCAACAAAAAACACACGACATCATCATCCTGATTTGCTTACCCCATTTTTTGCGAGAACCGATGCCTTTATGTATTCTTTTTTTTCCGCGAACAATGTCGGACTGGAACAAGTTATGCGAACCTCATTCATTGTAACGTATATGTAACGTATTGTAAAGTATGAGGTATGCAATGTATTGTCGTTATTTCGCGTAAGTTACTACTTGTGTTGTGGAACATAGTGTAACGTAGTGTTGTAGAACCGGGTGTGTTGTTGCTTTGCATATTGAAGTTTATTGTAGTGTATAGAGCGAAGCGTGATGTTGTTACATAACGAAGTGTATTGTAGCGTGTAAAACAAAGTGTGTTTTTCGTATGATGTACGTCATTACGTCTGTGGTATGCGTGACGTGCCCTTACTGCTTGGACCACTTAGTGTCCGCAGTATGTAATAAATAAATAAAATAAATAAAATAAATAACATTGAATACCCGTACATCGCCCACTCTACATAATATAATGAGTAATGTTTGTGTTCCCGGTGATGTTGCTATCAAACCACAAACGATTGCACACTTAACTACTGTGTCTGAAGGCGCAGTCGAGAAATTCGCGCTTAAAGCGGGCACCAGCGCAATTCACGTCAAGTATAGCGTATACCCATCTTGCCTTTCGCATCAGCTTCTCGAGTTTTCAGCTCTGTGCCCACTTGCGTTCGTTGTCGTCTCGCAACAGCTTTGCAAGCTCTTACTTCCGGGTTCGCTTACCGACGCCTTCGCGCAGCTTCGTGTTTGCGGACCCTCAATGCTTGCTGTCAGGCGTTGTGTTCATTCAAGGCAAGTGACATGTACTCATGATCGGAGTGCGAAAAAAGAGAGAGCGCATGCAGCAAGCCAGCGCTTATGGAGCCTCAATGCTTGCTGTTGAGCCTCGTGTTCGTTTACGGCAAGCCATGGCTCCACCTGGAAATTTTCGTCGCCAAATGGATCGAAAATTAGGCATTTTGGCGCAGAGAAGCCACCAAAGGCAACCCTGTTATGTTGCACTGTTGAATTGGGCACAAAAGACCAGTATTTGTCATCGCAGTTGACAGCGGTCGGTGTCGTTGCTGTCAGTTTTATTCGACTTCCTCATCGACTTCAATCATAGAGAATAAAAGACTGAACTCGATGGTATGAGAACTAAGGCACTGAAAGAAGCACTGTAACTATACGTTTGTTGTGAACCCGGCAGACTTAATAGACACTACAAGAGAATATTTAAAGGAACATCAGTGTTCGGTCACTAATGACCTAGTTTGCTTGATGAGGCACATGACGCAAATGATTTCCTTTGGTTACATTGTGCAGAACCGCCAGGAACACCGGTGATAAGAGAAGCCGCTGGTGACCGGGAGCCTCTACGAAGTCTCATCGGTCCCTACAATGAAGGAGACAGCCTGGGACTCGTGTGCGACGTCGAGGGTGGTGAGTTTCGTGTGCAAGTCCGCTGTACTCAGGGTGGGTTAGTTGGGCAACACCTCATCAGCACCACCCCTCGACATTTGGCTCCCTAATGTCATATTCAAATGGCTTGACAAATAAATACCTTCTGTCAAATATAGCGTGAAAGCTACCATAAATTGTGAAGCCTTTGTAATTAAACAAGTACAAAAGTGAGAGCTAGCTTCCGTTTAAAAAGGCACTTTGAAGGTAAGAAGCTTTCCGAAGTGTCAAGGGTTACTTCTCAAGCTGCAAATGTTGAACAGGGTTAGTATGAAAACACAAAGGAAAAAACTATTCCTTCATGATCTACAACCTATGATGAAAGAATGGTGTCGACCACTGACGATTAAATATGGATCTGATTGTGGGACTACGATTGTGTTTAAAAAATTACTGGTTACCATAGCCATGCCTTACAAGAAGGTTCTGAGGTGTAAACTGTGATAGGCAACTTCCTGCTGGGAGAGAGAGAGAGATAAATAGAGAGGAAATGCAGGGAGGTTAACCAAGCTTGGCTCAGTTGGCTACCGTACACTTGGGGTGGGGGAAAGGGAGAATAGTCGAAAGGAAAGAGATAGAAAAGAAGAGGATACACGAAGGGCTCAGGCAGCTGAAAATAACAAAAGCTCTAACAATTGTGCATTCAAACAAAAAGTCTTTGCATTTTCTTCCGTAGTTTAAACCCACTGATATATTAGCTAAATGTGCTAGAGCTAACCTGTAAGTCAGAAACAAGCTTCACAACCTTACGTTTCTGCTATTGGCTGCACAGTGCGGTTAGGTTCAGCTCTCTCACCAGCTGCTGAAGTCGATGCCCACGTTTTAATTTTTGTTTTAAAGTATGACTTCAGTTTTCAGACATTCAAGTATTTAACCTCGTTTTGTAAAAACAAAATGGACGCCTCGGTAAAAGGTTTTTCCCTCTTGTATTTTTGGTGGATTTTCGTCCCTGCACACGTCTCATGCTTCATTTTCCGGTGGACACTTCAACGGTGCCGTGTGGAAAGGAATTCAAGTGCTCGTTGCATTGGCTATAGGGAATTCTTCATGGGCACGTAGTGCAAATGCAGCTGCGAAGCACCCACTACGTAGCTTTCCACGCTTTGCCGTTTATGTGTTATATTATTATTATTATTATTATTATTATTATTATTATTATTATTATTATTATTATTATTATTATTATTATTATTATTATTAATATTATTATTATTATTATTATTATTAAAATTAGAGCTGAGCATTGCGGAAAGGGGTAGCAACTCTCACACACGAAATCATTACCATAACGCCATTGTGACACCTCCTGCGAATATACATATTGCCGCGATAGTACATCTGTTAACACGACTTATCACCAGAAGTATTACCGCGATATGTTTTTTACCTTGCGGAACAGCCTTATGCCGTGTGTAGCTCTGTGGTGTAATAGTTATTTCTACGCGAAGAAGGACAGGTTGATAAAAAAGTGGGAAACACATGGAGGTCTACAAGAATTTAAATGTCCAGTTTGCTAGAGGAAAGAGAAAGAGAAAGTGAGAATGGAAAAGCAGTTACAAAAGCTTCATAGTGAGTACATATCACCGATCTTCAAAATTTCATTCTAAAATTTGTAACGTTCTGAATTTGTAAGTTCCTTTACTCTAAAGTTGAATAATACTTTATAAGAACACTCAATTATTGGCTGATCTCCACAGTAGGTATGAGCCACAAGTGAAGGGCAACAATAACAAGAACAAGAGTGGAGGAAAACGGACTGCACAAACTCTAGGTTTGGCTGAAGCTCGAATTTTCTTTTTATTCTTAGAATCCATGGGTATTTTTGCCTCACGGGCAATGCAACTAACACCGCCTTATTTTCGATGACGCGGGCTTTTTTAACACTTTCGCATTTAAACTTTCCAACCCGAGATTGATGAAATTATAATATATTTGTCCTACCTATCGCTAGATTGGTGTGACGATAGCGTTTTCTGCACGCGTATAGGGCCTACTAGCAAGCGTTGTAAAAAATGATCTATTATGAGGTACAGTGTGGCCATTCCCCCATGTGGGTATGAGCCAAGATCTCCTAGGAAACAAGACAAGACAAGCTGCGAAATTCACTTACCTAATGATTATGGTCACGTACAAGTGGGGCGCTTGAGCATCCTTCAACTGCTAGCGTGACTATTTTACTAAGAAGCATAAATGATGACGTGTCGCACACAGCAATCGAGATGCCACAGCCCGCGCAGGAGTGTGCTTATACATAAAAGCAAATGAATGAAATTCGCAGCACCGACTCTACGGTGGAGCTGTGCCGTAGGAGTGCTTGGGTACAGCGGAAGGTGGGGATGGGAGAAAGAGCAGAGCACGTCACCTCTTAAACAATAGGGCTCACGCAAGCCCTCCACTCCAGCGGATGACGAAGCCATCCTCTTATATCTCGAGTACAAAGCGAAGCCAGCGGACGCAGCGAAGGGTGAGTCTGCGTGGGTAGTTCGCTAACGCTGGAGAGGCCCTCCCCAACACCCAGGCTCGTTAGCGCAATCCCTTTACGGTGGCGCCATCCAAAGCAGGGGAATGTCTGGAAGCCTCAGCCGAGCAACAAAAGGGTACAGCGGAGTGAAAGCTCCTGTCACCATGGACACTTATGAAAACACTGGGAGAGAAAAACAAACAAAAGAACGCTTCACTGGCAACTCGGGGGGTTCTGTGCTGCAACTCACGTTTGTCGCTGAAACGAAACATCGCTGTACCACGCGAGAGTCAAGCACAAGCCACGGGATTTTCTCAGCTGTATACGCTAACACAACCATTCTGACCAGCAGTTGTTTCTGTGGCTCTGCTGCCAGTACGCTATAAATCCTGCGATTTGGTTTGCGGGCTTAACCGGCTTGATATGGTTAAATGACTGCTGTTTTTTTTTTCAACAGCAAGATGAGGGCACAGAGTGGCCCCGGCTTTCATACACTCAAGTCATTTCAACAACAACAACGGGCGCGTTGGAATAACGCCTCATTGTTCCCTGTCCCCAGAGACACAATTAATCGACCTGCCCAGGCATAGCCTCTTGTCCATCTTTCAAGCATTGTCCTCTCCTCAGCGTACTATATACCTGCACACAATTGCCTGTTAGTCTTCGCGGCTTTCCTTTGTCCTGCGTCCTGTAAACCATTCCCTCTTCCACCCCAACCCCCCTATTTTTCACAGCTGTAGCTTCATCCCGCGGAGTATTTCAAGTTCGCTTTCATCCCGTGGTGGCCACGAACAAGCCATTCTGTAATGACTGTCAGTGTGTGGCAATTTTCTTGTTTCCAGTGTTAGACGTGAAAAGACACGTGTTTCCGAGTGCTCACTATTAGCGATGCACTGTTCTTTGTTCGCTACGCTCGAGAGAGCCTTTGTTCTGCGTCCGCGCCCATTTTTTTTATATACGATAGGTTTTGTTACTGAAGAGAGCCTATTAGCCAGAACCAACCACGACAGAGAGAATAAGGAAAATGAGGGCCGTGAAGGTTGTTCATGTGTTGCTGTAATGGTCAACAATTTGTACTCACAGCCAGTTTATTCTGCTTGGCCAGTGGGAACTGTGTCAGTCTAGTCACTCCAGAATGTTTATACCACTTAATTCTCGAGTAGTTATTATTGTCTGTTAGATAGTTTCCCTCTACGGTTGGTAATCGAGTTTTCATCAACTGCGGAAAATAATCGAAAACGCAAGGCCTTCGTAAAATTACGCGCGCTCACCATATCTATTAGCATTGGTATACTTCAAACGTACGTGTTATGAGAGAGGTATACGTAACGTCGTCTGGTGAACACGCTGTGTTCGCATTACCAGTCTATCAACGCTACACAAGTGTTCACATTAGTACTTCTGATATGTACCGAAAAGTGTCGTGCATTCAATCATGACTGTGCACTGCCGCCGACATGGCTAATCTATTACGTTTTCAAGCAACGTTCTTTTACACAGTCATCATTCAAACATATCAGTGTCTAAATAAAAAATAAAGCTAACTATACATTAACGGTGAATAATAAATAAGCATACAATGACACAATGCTTGGCTCGACAATGTGACGGCGGGTTGCGCTATGCAGTACGCCTTGTTCTGCTGCAACGCCGCAAAACGGTCATTGCTTTCACACATGCTGAACGACTGTCTTCTGAAGCACGCTTTCTACAGATATTTGTGATGCAGGCTGCATTATTTATGCAAAGGGGAGCACTGACGCAAGCATATTCTCTATGAATATGCGAATTTAATGCACTTAGCCTCTCAGTAGCGTGAACAACGCCCTTGAGATTATGGGGTAGCACAGGCAATCTTTCAACATGTCATAAGTAAGTAATCAAACGCTTTTGAGTTTGTGGATGTCACAGATAAGTAGTCTGTATAATGTATTCGTTAAAACAATTTCTTCCAATGCAGGTGAGGTCGCTTTGACAACCACATTATTGCAATTGTGGTAAAGAATACGGTTTAACGATTAGAGGATCACAGTGCATACGCCATTTATAGTTTATTTAAACTTAATACCACTGCTATATTCCCAAGAGTACTTGCTCACGCGTTCGTAATTTAAAGTTACACAAAACAAATTAAAATACAGGCGCAGCACAACGTACGCTTTCACTTTCCTTCTCACTCTTAAGTAGTTCACTGCATGGTTGTTAAAACTTAGCTATGAATGCAAGCCCTTCTTAACTCCCGAGTTTAACAGAGGGAGTACATTTCAAGAGGCCGACGAAGCTATGATGCGTCACGACATTTATAAGAGATGATGGCAGATGTGCAGGCTTTGATGTAGTAAACTCCAACAATGAAATAGACTTCGCAGTAGTCTCAGATATATTTGACGTTTGCGATGTTTTATTTTGCCTCTAAATTTAATTATCACAGATCACCGTGGCCAATTTCTACGAGAAAGTTTAGTTGTGCATGTATTACGCAACAGAGCCCCAGTGAAAGCTGGACGAGCGGCCGGCCGTTCCAAAGCCCGTTTCAAACTGTGTTGGGCAGCTACGCTACAAGTACACATGCACTCTACGCACTACATCATAAATGATCATAATTTTTGTGTAGTAGGAAAGCAGCCACTATTGTGATTCTATTGAGAAGTGAGGTCCCCGCTACACCTCTGTAAGGCAATATGTGGATTTTCTTGATGCCGTCGCGAACAGTGATGAATGCTTTAGCAATGTAGTGTAAGCCGTAAACGACCACTTGTTATGGAGTAGACATTTTGTGATACTTCCTTGCTATTTTTCTCTTTTACCAGAGTATATCGCGTATGTTAACGTGATTGCCTGCTCGGCAAGACACCGGTATAAGGTATTTTTTGAAGGAGTTTCAAGCCTTGGTATGAATATGTGGTATAATCCTCGGCTGCAACAAAGCGGAATAGATGAACGAGAAGCTTTTCATGCTTTTCAAGGCAGAGTTCAAATTCTATTTGAGCCTGGGTCCTTTCGTGCAATAGTGGCTATGCACGCTGGTGGTAGATAAAAAATTTGCCGCCAAAATCAGCGGTCGTTTTGATCTCATAACAGCTTTATCTGTAAAAAGCATATAGTGGAAAACCGATACTACTATGAAAAGATAAGCCAGATCTTGCAGCCGAGCGTGACAAGGATAATTTAGAATAGGAGCACAAACTTGCAATTTTCTCAGGCAGTCGTTTTTCAGACAGACGCCTGCGATCACTCTCTTTGGAGCTACCGGCGCTAACAGTTCGGCGCGACGCGTGAGAAAGTATGTTTGTCGACATCAATCAAAGTGGCATTTTGTTGGAGTGCGCTTTCTGTTACGGCGTGTCGCCAAGTGCAGGGTGCCCCAATCCACAGTCTGCATGCGTTACAACACAGTAGCCACGCAAGAGCGCACGGGAATCGCAACGGGAGACAGCAACCGCGTTTCATCACGTGCACTCAAGGTCATGACGGCGTGACATATTTTTCCCGTGCTCTTCTCTGCTTATCTTCCAGCGAACCCATCGGAGCGATAAAAGAGAGAAAACGTTGTGCGCTACAAATTCGTATAACTGCGCCAGTTCTTGATGGAGAAGAAACAATTTTGTGGTGATCGATTCCTAAGGCAAGAAACTACGATACAGCGGTCGTTCGATGATTCCATGAAGACGTAGTTCAGGAGAACCTAAACCATTTGCTTCTTTTTCTTAGTAAAGATTGCCGAGATTTAATGTCCCAAAATCATTATGTGATTATGGGATATATAGTAGTGGAGGGCTGCGGAAGTTTCGACCAGGTGGGGACCTTCAACGTGCACCTGAATCTAAGCACAGCGGCTTGAAGCCAATTCGATCCCATGACTTGCAGTTTAGCAGTCGAACGCCAGACCACCATGACGGGTACTCGCTTCTTTGGCAAGCTGCATTGTGTGGTTGGCGATACATTTGATCGTAATAAGATTACTATTGCCTAAAGCTGAGAGAGGCCATAGCTGACTGTAGATAAACCAGTCATGAATTATTCAGTCATAACCTCTCCAACCTGTTTTCCTTATTTATTTTCGGTAGGGGTTCCCGAGCCCAGTGTGACCTGGTGGAGGGAGAGCGTGCCGCTGGAAAGCGTACTCACTGAGCATCGGCCGGGAATTCGCCGCAGTGCTCTTGGACCGTTCGTACTGCGGCGTCAGGATTTGATGGCCGTGCTAGTGTGCCAGGCGTCGAACTCCAACCTCACGTCACCGCTCACAACATCTGTGACGCTTGACATGAATTGTAAGTAAAGCAGCTTATGCACGTGATCGTTCGTCATAATTTTCGCTATTTTAAGTTTGTGCGCTACATTCTACATGTATGTTGCAGGTGCCAACCAATGTTTTGAGAGATACTCTGTGTGTGACTTTAGTAGTATTTATGTCGGTAGGCTTTCTGTTGTAGTGCCGTGCAGTTTTTTTTTTCTTCACCTTCATGCCATAGCGGGCCAGCGTGCAGGAACCGATTTGTTAACATCTAGAAGTCACATTCATAACCTTATTTGATATGTCATCTTCAAAAGTGTACGTTCTATTATTCGTTTACTGCTGAGGCAAAGAATCGCCCGAGCCTACCATTTGTACACCAACATCTTCCAATACCCAATCCATTCAAGATCAATGCTTGTCGCCATTGACGATAGCAAGAATTTTAACTTATGCATGCCAAATTCGGGTGGTTGTTTGAATGCGCTCTGACCTTGTCTTAAATTGGCGAGTTTAAAAGCTTTAAAGCTTCTGAGTGAGAACTAGTAGGTATGTGAGCCGTGTTGCTCCTTTTTTTTGTCATATATTGTCCTGCTTATTTAGTTGCTAATATACATTATTTTTCACAGCCTCCGGAGCACTCAGAAACAACCACACGAGTGTACCATAGGTGTTATTATGTGTCTAGTATAAAACGCCACAGAATTAATACTCGCATACGATGATGCAAATGATGTGTCAAGTTTTGTTATTACTTGTCATTTTTGAAAATTTTGGGTTCTTCAGCTCTTGACGTAATGGAAGCAAAACCTCGAGATTCAAGACATTCCTGAACTTATTTTAAATACTACGTGATAGAAATAAGTTACGAGTCCTATTAAGAGAGGTTGCGAGTCATGAGACTGTAATGAACACCTAGGCATATGAGAACACGCCAGGAATAAACAATATGTTTCTTAGCACACCTGTTTGAAAGGTGGTAACAGCGATTGAGAAATTCGCGGGCAAAAGTTATCAATCGCAATTAGGTCTATTTAGTTGAATAATGCAGGTCAAGTCGCCACTACACAAGTTCTTTTTTACCAACTTCCAACACTCTCAAGTTAGACTTTATGAGAATAGAATATTGAGTATTAAAAATAAAAATGCTCAAACTTGCCGTCCTATACTCCGCCCCCCCCCCCCCCCCCCCCCAAGTAGAAGCTTGCCTACGTTGCAAGATCAGACATTCATTATTACAAAAAGAATTATTGCACGATGGCCCCCGGGAGCCACTGTTTTCCTCTTCATCTTCCCCTCAATACTAAAAAACTATATCCCAAGTTCTGTGAAAGTTTACTGCATTTCCTCACGACACTTTTGCTACGCTCACTCTAAGCTTTCTCAAGTTGGTAGAGACATGGGCGCTGGACGAAGAGAAAATGTGTGCAACCAAAATATTTACTTAAAAACTGGTTCCTTGCATTTTGCTACATTCGCACTATGAGGTAAAACGTAATGCAACCATTGCCCACGTAGACTGCTTAATAGAGAACGCGAAGTGCAGAAGACCAATTGATTACTTTAAACTGAACGTTTCGTTTTTTTTTTTTTTTTGAGGAAACATTCTGCTAAGTCGACTTGTAGGCATGATTACTAACTTCCACATAATTTTGTTCTCTTACCTTCACTGTTTGGTATCTGCTACGAGATTGTATGGAAAAAAATTATTTATGTCTATCGGGGTGTGAACTAGCGCGTAGTGGGCCACTGTTCAAATAAAATAATATTTACATTGCTCCACTTTTGGTAAGAGAGTGCGCACTCAGTTTTCTCGTAACTGCTGACGAGTACTGCAGCGCATAAAATGAAACACGTGGCCGCAGAAGAAATTCTTACCTCTCAAAAAATGCGGATGTCAGAAGAGGCTAGCGGAATCGCATTGCCTTTCGTTCGAGTGCATTTCCTTATGCTGGCTCACTTATTCTGCAAATTCAATTACGGGAAGTAGAAAAAAAAGACGCGTACAGCACCACGCACCGTTTAGCCCACCTGCTTGTTCGAACCAGCCTGGTTGTTCTGAGAAGAGGTTTATAAGCACAACAAATAACAAGCCCCCCCCCCCCCCCGTCCCCTCCCGCTGTACCCGAAGTTGGTGCTCTTATTCTTATTTTGGGTGGCCCTATGCACTTTTTTTACGTATTTTCACGTAGTGCATCAGCACCATTCGTACAGACCACTGGTGGCATTGCATAATACTCTAATGAGTGCCACTTAGTTAGTCAGTAGCAGGTTGTAGGGAAATACAATAATAAAGTCTCCTCACCAATCCGCTTGTGCACAGCGGTTCTAGTGCTGCCTAATCCACACTCAAGATGGCCTATGACAGAGACAGCATGCGCAGCAGCTATCGCTCGTGCTGACGTAAGCAACACGTGCGTCATCGCATGGCCGACAAAGCTGCCGCTTCCATGTCTCGCTTTACGTCATACAGCAGCGAAAATGATGAAATGCTACAATCTTCGTTCATTGCAAATCGAACTTTCGTCTCATTACGAAAGATGAGTTTTGCGAATTTTATCCGGTGTGGGCACTAAGCATCGTTTATCCATAGGTCTGGGATGACTCTTCAAGTACTTTAAGAAGGCTCGATCGAACACGTTTCTTTCTTCGCAGTTCGACCACTCGAAGTGAGCGTGGAGGCGGTGAGCCCCACGTTGGAAGCCGGCAAAACGGGCTGGCTTTCGTGCCGCGCCGTCGGCTCGCGCCCTCGGTCGCGCATCACGTGGTTACTGGGCGATCAAGTGCTCACCGGTGCGCGACAGAACGAGTCTCTGGACGGCAACGTGACACTGTCGTGGCTCGCACTGCGCCCCACTGCACGGCACCACGGTCGCATGCTCCGATGCCGGGCCGACAACGACCTCATCCCGGGCTCTGACATCTTCGCCGAGTTCAGACTACAGGTCCTCTGTGAGTACGCCACAGTGTTTTCTTTACTTTTATTTTTGTAGAGCTACTTTTATTTTTGTAGAGCTTGTTGTTTTCTGCAAGTATGCATGGTTCCTTAAGTAGGAGTAGTTGTTCTTAGTGTTTTTGTTGCACACAATGTTACGTTAAAGCAGAGAAAACAAGACAAAGCACAATTGCAGAGCATCACTGCTACAGTCACAGGTTTTGTTTTTGATGACAGTGGGGTGAATCCTAACAAGTGGCTATATAAACAAGCATGTTTGCATAATAAACGTACAGTCCTTAGTTGGCCCGTGTCCTGTGTGCTTTTTTTTTTAGTGGAATCTGTTGCACCGCTCAACCTCGCAGTGGGTCGTACCAACAGCCCCGCACCAGTGTACTCCTCTTGTTGACGTAGTCTATTAGCCTATGAATAGATTCGGTTTCTCTTGCTAATGATTTAGATAATAATGCTGCTAATGCTCCTTGCGGCAACAAGAAAAACTAATGAACGGTCTTTTTTTTTTTTTGCTGCCATCAATGCAACGCTCACAGGCACAGTGCACTAGCGACCATTTCCGCCCGTCCTGATGACTAGCCCCTTTTAAAGAAGTCAATACTCCAATGCAAAGCTTAACAGTTACATCAACACTGCACTATGCACATGATGCTTTACTGAAATTTTCGCGTCGCCGTGACGTTATAATTGTGTTATTCTTGATGGCATCTTCCTACAGTTTCAATCCTTCTCTTTCTTCACCTTCTATATCTAATTCTTTCACATCCGTTTTCTGTCAATGGCAGTGATATACACATTTGTTTGCAGATTGTTAATGTCAATCACTTATTATGCGACGGATATTCAGAGGTCTATCTTAACTGTAGAAACTCTTTTTTTATATTCTTCTCAGATGTTCACGCTGAAAATACATTGTTAGGGCTTTCAAAAATAATGTTATAGTTCTTGTGGGCAACTGTTTTTTTCTTCTTTTCAATATCAACGTCCAGTTCCTCCAAAGCTGACGCTACGTCTCGCGTCAAGCCTGCGTCGGTCACAGCTGCGTGAGGGTCAGGACGTGTACCTGGAATGTGTTGTCGACGCGAACCCTCCAGTCTCCGATGTCAGCTGGTGGTTTGGTGACCGCGAGCTTTTCACGGACTCCACGGGAGGCGTACTCGTCAACAACCGGTCGCTTGTGCTCCAGAAGGTGCGCCTTGACGCAAGAGGGCCATACAGCTGCAGTGCCGCGAATTCCCAGGGGCAGGGATCCAGCAACACACTCTTTCTTAACTTCCAGTGTAAGTAAACAGCTCCAACAAATTTTTAACTTCCTGAAAATGTCATTCCCACCTTTTCTTTTTTTTTTCTTCAACTCTCTGCCTTTTTTATCTTACAGTAACAAAGCAACACGCAAGAGTGAAATTCTTTAGCTACGTATTATTATTTTTTGTAGAAATTCTGTGATGCTGTAAAGTAATGCAGCCTGGTCTTATTTCCGCATTTCAATTATTATATTTCTCGACTCACAGTATCTCCCCTACTCGGTACGGTTCAGCAAAAAGTGCGATAAACATATGCCTCAGAATTCAAGCATACCTGTGCATGAATATTGGTGTAAAACCTGCGTCGGTAAAACTGTCTGAGAGAGAGAGAAATAAATAAAAGGAAGAGACAGGGAGGTTAACCTAGACGAACTGGTCTGCTACCCTGTACGGGGGTGGGGGAAAGGGTCGGAAAGAGGATAGATATAGGGAGATATAAAATAAATTTGAAAAACAAACAGTCAAATAAACGTTGCACAAGCCTGGACGAATTTCTTTTTTCCTCATAACTAGATGCTGTCCAATGCATTAGCTGCAGATGGAAAGAGGACATATGGCACCGGCGATTAGATGCTGGCTTCTTAATAGGAGTATAACAATTTAGGAGGTTCCACGTGAGAAAACAACCATATAATTGTGATACACGCAGTATAATATTTCGTTATATAAAATGCACTCAAATCTATGCAAGCGAGATATTTCACGTTTCCTTCATTTCAAAGTGCGTTCACCGTATTTGTGAACTCAAGGCGCGTTCTACATCTATGCACTCTAGGACCGTGCTATCTTCTTAGAGATCTGGTGAGCGTGATGAGTTGTCGGGTGAGTACTTCTATCAAACGCAAAATTTTTTTTTAATTACCGTCAAGGAAGTTCCTTCTGTATATTTTTATGCTGGTCATTCTCCAATAAGATATGCTTGTCACATTGTGCTTTCAGAAGCACTGCTCTTGCTGGAGTGGTTCCCATAAAACACTGTCAGAGGAAGCAAATTAACGGTCAACTGACCTCACCATGGTTCTCTGTGGTTTAATAAACAACTGCATTGTACTTCATTCTCTCAAACCATGGTTGAAATAGTAACAGTTAAGTTGTAGAACACTAAACCAATTGACCATATTCTTTGAATATGGATGAACACCTTTGAATTTAGAAAGTTAACAGCTTACAACTTTGAGCGATTAGGGGCCAATATGAGGGTGTGTTAAAATCGCGCATCAAAAACGTCTCCTTCGCGCGATAAAGTTTCTACTGACTATTTCACGACACCAACAACACAGATGCACCAGTCTGCCGCCGCGGACAGCAGCAAGTGTACGGCGCGGCGTCAAACCAGCCAGTGCGGGTCAACTGCGAGGTGCAGTCCGAGCCGGCTCCGACGTCCTTCCACTGGCGACTCGGCAACGAGTCACTGACAAACTTCACCAGCTTCGGTCACACGAGCCACGCGACCTTGGTGCTCCGCCGCGTGCCCCAAGATCTCGGCAAAAGGCTGCTCTGCTGGGCCACGAACGAGCTCGGCACGCAGCGAGAGCCGTGCGCCTTCAGCCTGGTGCCCGCGCGGAACCCGGATCCCCCGCGCAACTGCAGCCTGCAGAACCGCACTGCCAGTGCGTTTGCTGTAGAATGTGAACCGGGGGACGACGGAGGAATGCCGCCCGTGTATGTGCTTCAGGTGAGGTGTACTAAGTATAAATCTCTCATTATTCGATCCGAATCGCCACTGTCTCTAGGCAACATCAGCATGCAGCCAGAGACAGCTTACGCAGCGGAAAGTAAAAGCCCTTCAACTGAGTTTCATTCATCGTAAAATAAGTAGAATACTTTCACGGGGATATTTCTCAATGAAATTGATGCCACCAAAACGTTTCATGTTATTGCAGGAATGGAATAAAAACATTAATCTAGTTTGACGCGTTGACCGCAATATCACCACAGGGTATGCCGGTATGGGGCACTCCAGAACAAGTTTTACCACCTAGCATTCGCCCCGCCGCGGTGGTCTAGTGGCTAAGGTACTCGGCTGCTGACCCGCAGGGCGTGGGTTCGAATCCCGACTGCGCCGGCTGCATTTCCGATGGAGGCGGAAATGTTGTAGGCCCGTGTGCTCAGATTTGGGTGCACGTTAAAGAACCCCAGGTGGTCGAAATTTCCGGAGCCCTCCACTACGGCGTCTCTCATAATCATATTGTGGTTTTGGAACGTTAAGCCCCACAAATCAAATCAATCACCACCTAGCATTCCTTACGCGAATCTCTAGCGAAAGCTTACGGGCCTTTTCACCGTTTACCCCCAAAAGACGTGACCGCCATCGCTCGGAATCAAGCCCGCGTCCACGATCATAGCACTACGGCACATCACCTGATAAGCTACAGTGTGGGTGCATAGTGAAGCCCGCTGTTTTTCGTGTCAAAACACGATGTTATTATCAGCCTTGCCGTAGAGGAGGGCTCCAAAATTTTCAGATATCTGACGCTTTTTAACGTTGGCTCATAAACGCATCACACGAGCCATTTCAACTTCAGCAAATGCGACTGCCACTGCTGGGACCGCACCCGTGTCTTTTAGGTCAGCAGCTGAAAACCGCAACCACTGTACCTCCGTAGCTTGCCTAGAGCGAATGCGTCAATGAAGTAAAGTGAAGTTTACGTCATTGCCACATAGATACAAAACATGTTGAAACAGCAAGGGTGGTGAGATAAACGCTGCATGTACGCAGCTTCACTGGTCCCACCTCCCCGAACAATGAACTGTGTTAGCTATAGTAGCTCAAGTATTGAACTGCTTCATTATTCATTGTTTTCTGAAGCTTCTGCTGAGCATAACTAATTACTGTAGGCTTCCACGTTATTCCCCATTAAGTTAACATATATATCTCTATATCGCCGCCTCATATCCGATCTCACCAACACAACTGAACACTGTCGACGCGCGCCCCACTTCGCTGCTTACTCGGGATGCAACAAATTACGCCCGAAGGCTCTTTTAGATTACTTACTGCGCAGGCTCTTTTTCAAGGGGCGATGCTCCTTATGGCTTGGCTTGTGCGTTCCCGTTGTGCGTAACCGCCCCTAATAATTCTTGAACCAGCCATAGAGGGCGGTACTTGTACTGTACGCTGAAAAATGAAAATGTTACGACACTAGAGGACATTACTTGTAGAAAAGAAGGATTCACATCACACTTACGAAAGGAGAAAGAGACGATCGCGCGACTAGAATCACTAGTTCTTTGGCAGCACCGCACGCCAGGGGGTGCTCTAATGTATAATAGAAGCGCCATTTTGGCGCGTGCGTATTCAGAGGCTCGGTGATGGAGGAAGGACGAGGCTGCTGAGCACCGTGCGTGCAGGGCGGCGGCGCCACGAGGACCCTGCAGTACGACAACGAAAAGCCGAAGCGGTGTGGCAGTGGCGTGTGGACCCAGCTTCACCCCACTCTCCCTCATTCACCCCGTAGACATACTGTAATTTTTTTGGTATGCGTATTACATTAAGAGCAAGTGAAGTGTTGATAGAAGGAAAGTCATGACACAGTTCAGCTTTGCTACTACAATCCTGTGCTTTTTGATACCCAGGTGCTCGACCAGTTCAACAGGAGCCTGCTCCATGTGAATGCCACAGACCGCCCAGCCTGGACTGTGAGCGGTCTGAGTAGCGGCACACGTCTGTCTCTCGTGCTGTACGCCGTTACCTCAAAAGGTCGCAGTGCGATGACGTTACTTCGCGCCAAGACACTGGCTGGTTCTCAGTCTCTGACCGAGCCGTTGTGGCCCGGCAGCCTGAGCCCGATCCTCGTGGCGCTCATCGCTTGCGCCGTTGGGCTGGTGGCCGTCGCATTCCTCGTCACGCTTCTGCTGCGCTACCGCAGCGCTAAAGAGCGACACAAACGTAAGTGACCTACCATCGCGTGCGTCATTATGATTACTTGCGCCACAACTTGTATTGATAAACATAGTTGCTCCGAAAAAGTGTGTAGGACGCACGCACCCAAGCTCTATGTATGTATGTATGTATGTATGTATGTATGTATGTATGTATGTATGTATGTATGTATGTATGTATGTATGTATGTATGTATGTATGTATGTATGTATGTATGTATGTATGTATGTATGTATGTATGTATGTATGTATGTATGTATGTATGTATGTATGTATGTATGTATGTATGTATGTATGTATGTATGTATGTATGTATGTATGTATGTATGTGTGTATGTATGTATGTATGTATGTATGTATGAATGTAATGTATGCGTTTGCGAAAGAGAGAGACAGACAGACAGAGTCGTGTTAACATAGTTCACCTAGGAACAGCTGAAAAGCTTTCGTGCACTTTTTATCGCCTTTTGAAGGAGCAAAACCGAGCGCATCACCGCATATCTGATGCTGCTTCTTTCCCATTTCGCATTGTACATTTATTTCGGCAGTCGCCTCTTTCAATATCGCTTCTTTAGTTCATTTACTTCACGTTCCAAGCTTAACAAGATGGAACCTGTACCTCGCAATTTGCAATTTAGACTCAAAAGAATAAGGAATTGATTTACGTCTTCATATTTATTTTTTTCTACTGCAGAGTGGTGCAACGGAGTCAGAAGGAAATAATTAGAAGAAACACAACACTGCTCGCCATAACTCTGACAGCTTTTCAAAGCGCCCACGTTTACACCAGGCTTTCATTTATATGATTTATTCTTGAATCCTAAATTAAGTTTTCATTCTTTTCTTCCCATCCCTTTCCTTTGAACACGGACACTCGCTGGAGCAGCGGCCTTCTTTGCCGTGGGCAGAGCCCAAAGCTTTGATATGGAAAAATCGCAGGCGGGAACGAATTGCAACGCACCGACCTCATCTGGCTGCTCCTTCATGCGTTTTTTCAGTTCACTAAACTGTACGCGTAACGAAGCTTACTATTGAAAAGTGGGGCCGTGTTTCTGTTTGTTTGGTTTCGGTTTTTACGTTGAAGAAAAACCAATGGTCGCGTACGTGGAAGTTGGCACCAACTCGCACTGAATGCACTGTTCATTTACAGACAGGTCTGGGAAGGTTAAAATACTGTAAAGTTCTGGAATGGTTCCACGTAAGAAGGCTGGGCCTGCGCTAAAGACTTTTTTCTTTAGCGCAGGCCTAGAACAACCTTCAGCCTCAAATTTTCAATGTGTGCCCATTTATTGATAAGATTTCATTTCCTTTTCTTATTTAAATATTTTTGCTTCGTTCTTAAGTGCTACATGTCTGCATTGTATTTCGTGTCGCCTTCATTGTTAATCTGTGATTTTGTGTGTGCCTGTCAATTATCGAGTAAATCAGCCAATTATTCTACCTGCAGCGTATTTGTTCAATTGCTATGTACTATGTCCAATTACCATTTGCAAATGTAGATTTAACACCGATCGTTACATACTTTCAGTGCGGAGGCTATGTTGTAATGATAGGTCGACCTGCTTCATTACACCTTTAGCTGTACTCGGGGTGTACGGTTGAAAATTGTTTAGCTTTTTTGTCCCAATTTTATTTAAGTCCGGCAACAATTTCTAATAATGATAACGTCAGTGAATGTTGTATTTCTAAATACAGTTCAAAATTAGTACGAACGTTGTATACTATTTTGCCTTAGTTTGGCAAATGGTGGTATTTTCAGTCACTGAAAATTAACTGCGTTGACCTTTGGTGAAATTTTGAGAATATTTGTTTGAAATGAAATGTTGTGGCGTGGTGTTCTGAATTTGTTTTGAAAATTATCTGCGTTCTATTAGAAAGACATTCGAACTGTTTTTGATGAGGCAGCTGTTGGAATTGACGTCACCACTATTCGATTCGTATTGGATTTGGTTCCAAAAATCATAATTTGCACACTGTTGTCATTTCTGCAACAAATGGCTTACCTTTTTGTTTTCTGTGTTTTTGCAGCGGAACCGATCAAGGGAGACGATGAGTTGTGAGTTTTATAGTGCTTTTTTCAGTTTTATATAACGCCGTACTTCAAGGAATAGTTGGAAAATTCGTAACTTGTCTAAAATTCTGTAGCTATGACCATCTTGACGACCCTCACTTTCATGTTTTTCCTCACTTCATTACCCTCGCTATATTTTCTTTTCAGGCAAATTGCACCTCTTCACCAATATCCCGATGGTGTGTTGAAACTCCGCAGCCCCCAAAGTGAAGAAAAGTGCCCGGATGTCGTTCTCGGTAGGGCCAAGTACATCCACGTCACGCACTGTACTGAAATATATATTCGTGCTCATGGCAGTTTGTCAATGAACAATTCAATTTGAGGGCTGAGGAACCCTTTGGCCACAGATGGGAAAGACTTAGAGCAATAAATGCATCGCTCAAAAACGGTAGTACCTCGCTGAAGGTTCTACTGATCAAATACTGTACTATTTAGAGGAAGGAATGCTCACGTTGAAGTGAATAGTGTAGTTATCATTTATTCTTTGCTGTAATACTCTTAGCGTATAAGCAACAGTTCACCGCACACCGCAGTAATAGACTGTTCAACAATTACTCTTTATAGGTAATCTCGTAGCTTTGATTAGTAATTAAGGACCGTCAAAACATAAGTGAGTAAATAAAACAACAGCATTTAAAACACATTGCCGACAAAAGTGCGTAAATATATATATAGGCAAACATAATTTTAGGCTTTGACGACGCCATATTCAGTTGGGACAGAGTGTAAAGATACAAGCTAGACATGTTTTTACATTTTAAAGCTTGCGAATCCTACATTATTGGGTCAATAAACTTTTTCAAAAAAATAAACAAGGGTTGTGAGGCTCGTACAAATTCTTTTAGGAAAAACATTACAATTTTTCAGTTCGAAAAACCTTTGAGTGCTTCATGAACTAAATAAAATTCAGCTTCACTCTTATATTTGATAGGTTTCTTTATATACACTCAAGTGGTTTTCTTTCCTTTTTTATTCAACGGGTTTGTATTGTCGCACGTAATTTAACAAGCTGGCCTTGCCTGTGGAGTTGTAGCATCCTCTTAAATCTCGCTAGCAACTTGTTTTTGTTTTATATTTCAGTTATCATATGTGTTGCATTACTTTACGTTAAAAACGACTGAATGTGTGAATTGTCTGAATTTGCTGTTGTTTTTTTTTTTCAGACGTAAGTGGCAGCGAAGAGAGGCTCAAGGTAGAAGAAGATCGCCCATCTGAAGCCGTGCGGTGGAAAGGCTGGACAGAAGCTGATGCTGAAAATGATGTACGAATCCTTGACTAATTCTTCAATTTTTGTTTGTCTTTATCCCTGTATCATGCTAAAAGACACACAGTGGTAGTCTTGAGAGATGCCACAGAGCCAACAACAAGCAAGGGATTTGCGAAGGCATAAAACGGGGAAAGTTGAAGAATTTTGTTTATTCCTTTATGGGCATAACCTATAGTGAGTGCACACAGAAAAAAATCGTCATGGTTTCATTGCTTGAATAGTTTCGTGGAGCCGATTTAATGTTCTTATTTATTTTCTGCTAAAAAAGAGCACTCGCTATAGACCACGAGATGTCTCGTTTTATTCTCATCATAAGCTACCTAGCACACAATAGAGAAGTTTTCGGTAGTACTGTCACTGCTGTATAAACCAACACTGAATGCATCAGAGGTATTGTATACACGTTCGGTCCCCTAGTTATAAATGTCTTTTCATTTTATTCTTTGTTTGCCTTCATGAGAGCCTATGTGTAATAAGCTAACTCGCCCCACTTAAACCCAACTTTTCCATAAGTGGATTAAAGTTTTGCACCCGGAAAGAGTAAGTTGCCTTTTGAATAAGGCGTATTGTTTGATTCTGCATGTCATACAACGTTCAGGCAACGGCGTACAGTCTTGAATGCTGAGATTTCGACCTGAACAGCGCAACACGGCTACCACTAGGTTACCTTATAATACATGAGCCTCTATTTCTTGTAACAGCCGGATGCACCCTGCTGCGCTTTGATTCTACACCATTTCTTTTTACCACTTGCAGAAAGCGACGCTCGGACGACCTTCACCGCAGAATTACCAGTCCAGAAATGGAGGACAGACTCGAGCCGTGCTCACCGAATCAGTGCCCACTTTGGTCTCTACGGCTGGCGCCGTGTCCGCCGTTGCCGTGCCGTCCACCTTGTGCGCCGAGGCGAGTGTGGAAGAAGTCGTGTCGGAATGCGTGGTTGTTCCGCCTCCGCTCAAGTATCGTCAGACAATTGTGTGAGAAGCGACGAAGGACGCTGTCCGCCAAGTACTACATCGCACACAGTGTCGGTATTGCCAATGGGCTGTTCCTCCCGATTGAACTCTTGACAAGGTGGATTGAGCGCACGAGTGAGCCATCGCGAAAGGAGAGAAAGCGACATTACGAAAAGGACAGGGCCGAATACGTCGAGTTATCGTCCCTTTCTGGACAGTGCTGCGAAGTGGTTAGATACGGAAACCAGCCTACAAATCGCTCTTGTTTCTTCTACTTGCATTGTCGATCCTACTCGGGGTTGCAGTTTTATGAAGTGTGGTCCTCTTCACTGGTGATAATTTACAAGGATTGACATGATTGTCGACGCATAAAGTGCAAAATGGGAAAAAATAATGGCAGGGGCAGTACAACAAACTGCGTGAACAGTGCGGGAAAGGAACATACATTTTCATTTCTGTCACTCACACTGGAAACCGTTTAAACACTATCTATTTGGTCAGAGTCTGGGAATATCGACTTTTTTTTACATACTGTCTGTCAAGTAAGCCGAAACCATACTTTGTTCAAGCATTTACGAATGACCATTTTGTGCACAATTTGTCTTGCTTCGTTGGAGTTTATGTCTAGTACGGCAACAAATTTTTTTTCGTTCTGAATCACTTGTCGAAGGAAGACTGAAAATTCAGTAGTTTTTTTAGCTGTCTTGTGCTACTGCCTGATGCACTTGATTAATAAGCACTGATTTCGTAAGACAGTCATTCAACGAATGCGTTAGCTTAAGTTACCTAAAAGTGCACACTACATGTCGCACAGATTTGAGCGGCCAAAACGTTACAAAATCAGCTATGCTAAAGTGTACGTAAACTTTATTTCATACCCCAAGTGAAAGCAGACATTGCCGTAACAGTTGTACATATAGTGCAAACTTTAAAAAATTGGCAACCCAGACTAAATGTTTACAAGGGCACTTTAAGCTTGTTTATATTTTAAACATATCATGGTAACCGCCAAACTGGCAATCACTGCGTCCATCTGTTAAGACATCGGCATTTTAATGTTCCAAGCCGGCGTGATGGCCATACATTATAAGGCTTCAGTGGGTATGGCGTGAACGTGACGTTCGCTGCTTTCAATTTTGTTTCGGTACATCTCCGCAAAGTATGCGAAGTACTCCTGTATGGTACGTTAGTACGAGGAAGACTGCGATGTTCCGTGAGAGGTTTTTCGAAAAACGTACATGTATGAAGAGATAAAATATACTTCGTTGTAAAGACAGCCTTTCTGCTACAATGAAAATGATATGCAGCCAAAATGATACAATGTCCAGCTAGCTGCTATGAATTTACGTTTCATGCAATATATATAAAAGATGGACTTCTGCGAATAAGCATTACGCTAAGCGGATAAAGAAAACTTGCCAGTATGAATTTCAAATAGAGGATTAAACACATGGGTAAAAACACTGTAAAGCCGGCTTCTCGTTACATACCATGAAGTCGCCTCATCTTCTACCAATAATGTCTTGGCCTTAAGCCACCATATTGCTGCAGGACTTGGTTTTCAGGAAGTCCAACTCTCAGAATCCTGGTACGCAGATTTCGTTGTTACATAGAACAACCCAATAAATCCGAACCTTACCGTTGATCATATACGCTGGTAGTCGTTTTAGTCAGTGGTTCACTGCAATAAAAATATTACGAAAATGTCTGCATGAAGTGAATTATCTGCGACTTTTCGAGTCCAAAAAATGTGACTGATAATTTCCGTTTTATAACAAATAGAGGAGAGATAAGTTATATTTATATTTCAAAATGTCAAAAGAGCCTCCACTATACATTACTATCCAGCTACTGATTCCGGAAAGAATAAAAAAATAACGCTATGGTGGAATTCCCGAGATATGGCTTAAACATTGCGTTTCAAAACAGCAGTGAAAAGTTGTCGCAGAAATATAAGAAAACGCGACAAATATATAGGCCACTGTATAGTGCCCATTTACGAAAAAAAAAAACGACCAAGAACGCAACGTTTACTTCACCTGTTTACAGCCTGTCTCAAATATTTCGAATACAGTAGCATATAGTAAAACATGCGGTTTTAAATGAGCGCTGCGCAAGTCAAACGGCTACATTATAAAAACAAGAAAACTCCGTTAGCTATTTTTATATTTATTGAGTGAAACACTAACTGGTTAAAGAAATAAATTACGCTACATCAGTGAAGGAATTACGAGAAAAAATCAATAAAGTTTGATAAGAAAAGCACTATTGACCGAGAAACAAAGCAATCCACTAGCGTAATATTTCAATAATTGCGGTTCAGCGCTTCTGTATCAATCTGTCGCGTCGTATTACGCTCCTAACTCGTCCAGGGCTTTCCCCAAGGACGAGTCTTTATACGAAAAAATTCCAGTGGATAATGCTCTTTCTTCCGTTATTTCTAGACATATCGTGAAAGTAAACCATCACGCGATTGTAATGGTCATGGATTGGGATAACAATTTGTTTATGAAGAGTATATGATACTAATCAAAATTGAAGTTTTAGCTTCAGGCAGTCAGCAACTATTACACTCCGCTAATCGTGAAAGCATGCTTTGAACAAAACTTACGCGGGTCAGAAGAAGCTGTTCCGTGTACCTTATCTCATCATCACTTTATTTGCACGGTCTTTGCGAAATCGCAGAAGGCATGGCATCATCATTCCATCCTTTATTAAAAAAATGACACCGCGGGAACCGTGGTACAGTGCACAAATAAAAAACAACGCACTGTTTGTACAGGAAGCTGTGTTAGGACTCTTGTGACGTTCACCATTCTCTTTGGAACATTGAAAAACTGTGATATCACAATTGACGGCTGAAAACGTTCAAGAAGATGCGACGCATGTGTTGTTGTTTACTTGAAACTTGGACACGCTGTTAGTATTACGTTGTTCCAGCATCAAGTGTTTGTCTCTGTGTCTTTTTTTTTTGCGAAGTGTGCTCTGTATAGTATGGAGATAACTCTCTGATGTTAGGAAATAAACTTCAAATTTCTGCTTGTGCCGTGTTCTGTCATTCTGCATTCTGTTCAGCGTAACAACCATTCCGTGACGTCGCGAAGCGGAATTCGCTTCGCCTGAGGTAATGGTGGTAGATTTTGTGTGCATTAGAAATCGCAGAGAAATAAGTGCAAAAAAAAAAAGAGGCACGTCAAAAGGACAGGTGTCGGTGTCTTTTCTATTAACGTGTGCGCTGTTTACAAATTTTTCTTTTTTTCAAAGCCACTCCTTTGAAAGAGCTGCGACCGAACTCAGCGGCCCAGCTGCGAAAAGACGAATAATGTCACTAACAGAGAAGCCTATGGTGACCGTTATCTTTACTCGTAGAGAAGAGTTTTTTTTTTGTTTCGCCTAGCCATATACACCTTTCGCTGTAAGAAAATGATGGCCATGACGTGTTAATAACTTCTTGTATTGACTGCAGCGTGATGACGTCAGGAAAAAAGATGGTCAGCGAGAGTCACCTCACTTGATCGCGAACGCAAATTTCAAAATTCAGGTAGCACACTTTCAGGTATTGATTGATATGTGGGGTTTAACGTCCCAAAATCACTATATGATTATGAGAGACGCCGTAGTGGAGGGCTCCGGAAATTTCGACCACCTGGGGTTCTTTAACGTGCACCCAAATCTGAGCACACGGGCCTATAACATTTCCGCCTCCATCGGAAATGCAGCCGCTGCAGCCGGGATTCAAACCCGCGACCTGCGGGTCAGCAGCCGAGTACCTTAGCCACCAGACCAAAACTTCGGGGCAGCACTTTCAGATATGCGTACGAAAGTTTGTCAGTACCACTGCATGTGGGCGCCCTCCTCTCCTACCCAGAAAAAGAAGGCATTTCCGGAGCCCTCCTCCATGGCGTCTCTCATAATCATGTGGTGGTTTTGGCACGTTAAAGTCCACATATCAATCAATCATAAAAAGAAGGCATTCTTATCTGAAGCAGCAATGACTACGTTGAGAGCATTCCGACACTATCTAGGCTTCCTAATATTGCGCTCAACATACGGCCTATCAGAGCTGCACAAATGCCTTGAGCCCAACATAAAAAATACACCAACATTTAAAAAAAATGTTTGTCATCATGACCGTTCTTATTTACGTACTCAAAGCTGATCATATTTATAATGTCTACGTGAATTTTATCCATAATGCAGCACTTTCGAACAATTGTCATAAAAAGTATCCTTTTCGCATTTTAGCAGGCAGAGACCAACAGGCAGGACAAGGGGTAAAAAGGTAAAGATGTAAACCGAACTACCTAATAAGATGTAAACCATACAAGCTGCTCTGATTTACATAATAACTGCCCTCTCTTTGGCCTACCTCCTCATTTATGTCTACCAAGATGTGAATTGGATATCTTTACTGAAAAAAGATTGTTCCGGAGTGCTGCGTCAGAGCTCAATTATGTATATGCAATATAAAAATGATAACTTTTGACCACATAAAAAACAGGCCATGACGACAAAGTAATTTGTTATTTTGATCTCACTGCACATCTTTTTTTCATTTTGATATGCTACTCGAGCAGTAACGTAGCTGTCATAAGCCGTATGTAGAGAGTTCCAGAGAGCCTTGACTAAATATACCTTTATCAAGGGTGCTTACGTGTAAAATATATCGTTTTTTTTGCCATACGTAAGTGAAGATATATGTAGTGGTTGAGCACCGTGGTTGCACAGTGCTTATGAGGCTCGGCTGTGCAAATTATCTGTCATATTAATCACAACAAGTTAATAACAGACGTAGTCACTCAAAACTGACTCCAGTTAAGCATATTTTTGTTTAAACAAATAGGTGCACAGAGCCTCCAAGCGTTGCAGTGATTTGATATTAAGATATTTCCTTTTGTAGCGGCAAGAGTAGAGAGACGTGAGACGATGTCGTGAGGCGATGCCGACGGGGTCGTGCCAAACTCGCCACTTTATTCGTAGGCCGAAAGTGGATTGGTAGCGGCTGCCAGCGTCAGGCAAGCTTTGTTTGTTTCTTTATTTGTTTGTTTGTTTGTTTGTTTGTATCCTCTAATTCATGGCTCATACCCACTCTGGGGGTTCGGCCAAGAGAACATATAGTCTAATATGGACGATAACTGCACTATTTTTACAACAAAAAAAGGGAAAAAAAGTCAGGCACGTGAACTCGTTCTCTTCTTCGCGCAGCTCGAGCAAGGCATGAGCAGCACGAGGGTCGCGGCGTGGTGGCTAGAAGAGATGATGATGATGAATCGCGATGATGATGACGCTACACCTTTATTTAGAGATGACTAAACTAAAAGGAACCCAGTTCGTTCACAATAAAACCTAAAGGTTTTTGTAAACTTAGCAAAAGAGTCATCTTTTGCACACGCTTTTTGAGCTTAACGATGACTTCTTTGTTAGTTCATGCTCCCGAGCTTTACGGAAAGCGTAGGTAAAGGACGATGACCGGTCTTACTTTCAAAGTCTTTCGGGAAGAGATTTTGTTTCTTTAGCGGTTCTCAGTAGCGAAGCGGTGGGCCAGACAGAGCCAACGCCCTCTAAATCGCTGGAACGAAGACAGCGTTTTCTTCCCGTTTCTTTTTCGACGCCCGCGATATCCCTCCAACTCCCAAGGTGGAGCTTCTCCAAGGAAGTTGATCCGTCCTGTCAACAGGCGCACACGCGCGCCAAGATGTAGCAGACGCTTCTCTACCTGCCAATCGTAAGCCTAATAAACGACTCTCTTGGCTTTTGGGATTCTCGCGCGCCAAAGGTCTCAACAAACGTACGTCTCTTCAAGCGACATTGGCACCTTGAAGGGGCGTGCTCAGACTTTAGGGCTCAAGGCAGACTGCTATCAGCCGAAACACGGGTCCACGACGAAGCGTGTGCAGCGAATCGATGCACTCGGTTGGGATAACAGCGTAAAATAGCAGCAAAACTTCAATTCTCAGCGAGCGTCTACTCATTTCACGAGCCGTATTGGTTGATCGCCCGAAGAAAGGCCAGATTAAACGTCAACAATTCTTCCTTCATCACCTGAGTGACCTAATGTCACTAAGGTGATGTCAGTCATCCTTCATCACCTGAGTGCCTTAATGCTTCGGTCTCTATCACTAGCAGTATTCTATAGCATTCCAATGTTATCTCATCTTAGTTATAGAGCATCCATGCAGCGATAACTACACACGCATAGGCAATGGTAAAAGTGCGAACTCCAAAATAATGCTGCCAAATGTGAGAGGCATTAAATTCTTCAAATATGCTGAAGAAGAAGAAAACAATCGAAAAACTAATTATTTCACAACATCTACAAGAATGGGTTGTCTGACCAGCGGAAGTGACACCCAACGCAGAAAACCTTCCCTTTGCAAAGACACGCAGAATCAATACCTTGACAACACCTACAAATATTACTTAATTTTACGTTGCTCGCTGTTCTAGTTTCCTGGGTGTTACGTCATTTTCTACCGGTAAAGGAAAACTATCGAACAGCGAAGAAACCAGACAAAACGCTGTGCCTGAGTTCCAACTTCTTTTTCTTCTCTTACAGTGCCCGCCTGCGCGCGTTTATTCCTCCTTTTCTTACATACTCCCGCTTCCCAGTAGAGCTGCACAACTCGAGCTTGAACAATTCTTGCACGAAACATTTCTGCACTGGTAACCTTAAGAGCTTCCGCAGGCTCGGGTTATGTCATCTTAACCAGGGTCGACGTGTATGATTCGTCTTAAAGGCCAAACACTCTTGCAAGTGTAAAGTTCCGCGAAAATCACTGCACCATATACTTGGGAACTGCTACTGCAGAGGGCTTGGTCAAGGCGAACCGCCCGTAGTTTTGATTGGTGCTTTTCTCTAGATTAAGTCAGCCTAAGGTCTACCTAGTCCTGATGGTATCTTAGGTTCTCGCTGCCACGTCGAGTGTCCTGAGAGCTTCAAACTTCGTAGTCGTAGTTGTTTTGACTCGGAAAAGGCTGGTATGAACGTCTAACAGGAAAT